TGGCGTGATCGCTCTCTGGAGTTTCGACCGCACCTATCGTATTTGGCGTGTCGTTCGCTCCCACGTGGGAGGTTCGCGCTCCCGAACCATTGTCGAAGCCCTCCCTGGAAATGCCGTCCGATTGACCATGACTCTGGCTCGCCCATGGAACGCCGCCCCTGGACAACACGCCTATCTCTACATGCCCGCCATCAGCTACTGGCAATCACACCCCTTCTCCGTCGCCTGGTACGATGGCGTCGAGGATGTTAAGAGCGACCGATTAGCCACTACTAACCAAGATCTTTTGGCTATGCAACAACAACGGGTTTCTTTCGTCATCCGAGGCAGAACCGGCATGACTGACAGCCTCTACAAGAAGGCAGTCGCTGCCCCTGGAGGTCGTTTCGAGACAAGCTGCTTCGCCGAGGGCCCTTATGGTGGACACCACTCTTTCGACTCTTACGGTACTGTGGTTCTCTTCGCTGGAGGTGTCGGCATCACTCACCCCGTCCCCTATATCAAGCATCTTGTTGAGGGCTACTCCGAGGGTACTGTCGCAACTCGAAGGATCCTGTTAGTCTGGACCATTCAGACTCCCGAGCATCTGGAGTGGATCCGCCCCTGGATGACTGAGATCTTGGGCATGGACAAGAGAAGGGATGTTCTCCGAATCATGCTCTTTGTCAGCCAGCCTCGCTCCACCAAGGAAATCCACAGCCCCTCGTCAACTGTCCAGATGTTCCCTGGACGACCCAACATCAACACTCTCTTGGGTATGGAGCAAGAGCACCAGATTGGTGCCATGGCTGTTACAGTCTGTGGCCCTGGTGCTCTTAGTGACGAGGTTCGCCTGGCTGTCCGAAACCGTCAGGACCGATCCCACATCGATTTCATCGAGGAGGCGTTCACGTGGTAAGCTTAACAGCGGGTATGAGGTGTTAGGGGAGTTTTGGCATTTCCTGGCTAGTCCAGTCCATAATTCCCAGCCATGAGCAATAGCACTGGCTCTCACTTCTGAACTCTGGGAGTTTTCAGGGATTCAGATGTTTCCAGTCCATCTTTGGACATATTGCAAAGCAAGGCTCAATTTTGAGATCAATTTCATGTATTGTACTTTAGATCGAGGTGTATCTACGCTCGTTTTGTGTCCTTTGGAGGACCAGCACTCAATAGCACTAAAACAAGTAACGGCCATAAGTGTGTCTTGTACTGAATGTGATGGGACTGATGAATACTGGTACAAAATTTCATCAACACTAACAAGTGTCATGGTCGGGTTGGCTAAGTCTCGACTAGGTCTGATGAAGGCGTACTCATGAGGTGTTGTTGGATGACATCAAGACAAGCCTTTGTTCTCTTTTCTCCAAGTTGGGTATTAAAAGGGCGATAGGGTCGAGAAGTTGTTAATTTCAACCACCAACGCATAGTTCGAAGTACATCATCCACTATTTACACTAGACCTTGTTGGATGTGGTGTTTGAACGTGGCATCGATCAAGTGACTTGTCTGCCGTCTCGGCAGGTGACCGAAAACGCTGACTCTGATCTCTAGAAATTGCCATCATTTGACCCAGCGCTGAGACACTCAAACTCGTGTTACCTGTCGAAATTGGATATATACAGAAGCTCTTGCCAATGTGATGTGGGTGGGAGGCTGGAGTTGATGGCAATTGATCTGAGCAGGGAATGAAGAGCCGATAACAGCTTTGTGAATTGTGATACGGCCATAATTATGCACATGCCACCTCTGAGAAGTCTGGTGGCTGGGATCCCGCTTGTCCCACATAAACTAAACCCGGTTCTCCACCAAGAAATCAAAGGTACATCGACTCGGCTCGAGCATGTACCTCGAGGTAACGCGTAACGCGTGGCACTCACAAGAGGAGACGTGAGGCACCGGAGATGGATCTAAGGGCTAATGCAGGTAGTGCATGCATCTAGTGAGGCAACGACTCCGCATTCAGGTCAAGTGTTTGAACCCTGCATTGGCATCCCTCCGTGCGACAGCTATGTACCTCTACTCCGCCTTTCACCTCAGGTTGGAGCTTATCAGTTCTTTGTTCTTATCAGTTCTTGCTGACCTTCTTAGCAATCTCATCCCCCATCTTCCACATTCACTCTTGGAATAACATCAACAACCACTGAAGTTTGGCCGCCGGTAATCGGCCATCTCTTTAACATGGCGTCTAGAAGCCTCATCCCATTTCTCGTAGCCATGATGCTGCTCACAGGTGTTTGCAACACCTTGTTGACCAAGTATCAGGTATGACGACATGCGCTGCGCATCCGCTGTTCCGCCATGCTCGCAGAGCTGTAGCTGACTCACCTCCCCATAGGACAACCAATGCGTTCGAAACTGTGGCCCCGATGACAATCCAAGGAAGCGCGCTTTCTTCAACCAGCCGGTTCTCCAAACCGCCCAGATGTTCATCGGCGAGATGGGCTGCTGGCTGGTTGTTGGCCTCATGGCTCTCTGGCGACGGTTCAAGGGTTCTGCACCAGAAGACCGAGGCTATCAAGCTGTTGATACCGAGGAAAATGGCGATGCTGAAGCTGCGCCCCAAGCCGATGATCGCACTAAGCTCCTTCACACCGGCCCATCCATCTTGAGGGGATACCGAGTCACCTTGCTTGCTCTGCCCGCTATTTGCGACATCTGCGGTACCACGCTCATGAATGCTGGACTTCTCATGGTTGCTGCATCCATCTACCAAATGACACGAGGTGCTCTCGTCTTGTTCGTCGGCCTCTTCAGCGTCGTCTTCCTCAAGCGACACTTGCATCTCTTCCAGTGGCTTTCCCTCGTCGGTGTCGTTCTGGGTGTCGCAGTCGTTGGTTTAGCGGGAGCTATTTGGCCAGATGAGAAGCCTGAGAACTCTATTGGACAGCCTGAGGAGGACTCGGCTACTGACGGAGGTCTTTCAGACGCTGCCAGAGCCATTGTGGGTGTTTTGCTTATCGCTGGTGCCCAGATCTTTACAGCCACTCAGTTCGTCCTCGAGGAATATCTCCTGGAGAGATCTACAATTGACCCCATCAGAGTGGTCGGCTGGGAGGGCATCTTCGGTTTCACTGTTACCCTCCTTGCTATGCTTGTTCTGCATGCCACTATCGGCTCCACTGAAGCTGGCAAATATGGATATTTCGACATTGTCGAGGGCTGGCGCCAGATGACCGAGAACAAGCAGGTCCTCATTTCTAGTTTTCTCATCATGATCAGCATTGGGTGAGTTTTCCGTCGATCAGATATGGATAACCAAACACTAACACTGACATTGCTACTAGTGGCTTCAACTTCTTTGGCTTATCCGTCACACGAAGCGTCAGTGCTACTTCTCGATCTACTATTGACACTTGCAGAACCCTGTTCATCTGGATCGTCTCCCTTGGCTTGGGCTGGGAGACTTTCAAGTGGCTACAAATTGTCGGTTTCGCCCTGCTTGTTTACTTCACCTTCTTGTTCAACGGTATCGTTCAGCCTCCTCTGGAGTTCCTCAGAGTCCCAGATGAAGAGGTCGAGGAGCTCTTGCCCGAGGAGCCCATTGAGCACCGTTAAGTGAAGCATTCTGTGCTGCGATATTACATCATATCATGTTGAGCCAGAGTTTTGGAATCATTTGCATCTTCGAACGGCGTCCTGGTTTGGAGTATAGGATTTAGTCGAATAGTTTATCATATCGAAATTCAGATCCTGTGGCTAAGAAACTTATCTATCTCTACTTTGCCCTTGTCATGGTCGAAAGCAGTGTCTGGGCCACCCAAAAATGCAGTCAACGCCCATGCATCCAATATCCAGATAACGCCTGCGACAAAAGCAGCCAACGAGCACGCTGGGAGGTGCCTTAGCAGCCAGGCCTCAAGTAACATTACATAGCAGCTCAGCTTCAAGAATAAACTTGCCCTCCTTATACTTCTCTGAAGATTCGTAGGCCTTATCGTACTTCCATCCAACGGTCTCCTTGCACTGACGGCATGTAATATCACGGACTACGTGTCGACCGGTCGTCATGTTACGTTCGTTCGGAGGACCCGTCTCAATATTGACGACGTTATGAAAGAGGTAGGCTTTGCCATGTTGGCCACGGAAATTCTGGTACCAGCATCAGCGGACAGGAATCTACAGGGGAGTCAAGAGGTTGGGCGTTGGAGGACAACATACGCGGCTGATGATGTCCTCATGGTTAGCAAGATGGGCCTTGCATGTCTTGCAGCCGTAGATCTTACTGCTATTCAGGTAGGTGTTGTAAGCCAGCCCCATGATGCGGGGCCCTGAGGCAGACGAAGGGCGATGCCGAACTGAAAGGGTATTGGAGGTGCTTCTAGACTGATGTTGCGCAAAGTTGAAGTTGTCGAGATGTACCGTGGATTTGCTGCGTGTGTCTAATAAGTTGACAAGGGAAAGTTGAAGGAGCAGTGGAGAAGGCTCACGTTAGGAATGGCACGTCATGAGGCCGGAGTTAGCTAATGCGGGTACGTCTCTCTTTGATAGATAGTGAGGCGGCGGTCGGGGTTAGGTGAATGGAAGCGGGGTCTGCGTAATAGTCAGATAGTAGAGTCTCGGCCTTAGTGAGAGAAAGTTGAAGTGGCTGTATATCACGAGCTTCAGGAAGCCTAATAGAGTCTTGAATGATGATGTCCCTATATCCACTGTTGGTCTGGTTTTCATACATTTGGCGCTGCAGTGAGTACCTAGTCGGTAAGGCCGAGGAAATTATCATGAGAACTGGTTGCCTCATTGGGCACAGTCCGTCAATTACACAAACAACCATCCATGAACGTATATGTCACGAAGAATAGCTGAGGCACCTAAGTATTAAATTTGATGTTGTATCCCAAATTACCTTATCTTAAATACCTATGCACGATATGGTCACGCTATTAGCAAGCTCACCCAACGCCTGTTGCTACTGTAGAGCGCACATGCATGAAATCAGTGAAACCACCCCCCTTTACCGTCATTAGCCAACCAAGATTTGCCGTTTACGCCTGGACATATCGAACAGATGTGCAACAAGAGCATCACTTCTTCGCCTTTTCCTTTTTCTTCTTCTTTGCTTCCTCGGCAGCCAAGTCTTTGTCCTTGATATTGTTGTAATGCCACACACCACGTTCCCGATCTTGTTGTAGTAGCTTCTGGTCTTCTTCTGAAATGGGGACGCCTTCAATGCCCTTGACTTTCTTCCCCTCGAGAAACATGACAATCCCTCCAATGGCCGCGACAATACAAGCCAGTGCTACAAAAAGACCTGTGGACCAACTGGGACGATCGTAACGGTTAAGGCCCCACATGAAACCGGACAGGACGCACTGCAGAAACGTGTTCCATACCATCAGCCAGATGACGGCGTCCATTCTCGTGATGGGTGTTGGCGGGGCGCGCACGCCAGTCAGCGGAGCGTCGGGGATCTTGTCTTCTGGAAACGGGCAGGCGAGTGATGAGGCTAGTTCGGGCGCAGACGAGATATTATGGGGCCCTATTTGAGGATCAATCTGATCGGACCCTGGGAGACGGAACCATCCTCGGTGAATGCCTGCCAATCGTCGAAGGGCAGTTTCCTTCTTCTGGAACCGATACTGAAGCAGGAAATACAGATCACGGAAGCGCCACGGAGCAAGACCAAATCCTGTAACACAGAAGAGAGCATTCAAAATCTGGGAGTCCCACTCTATCCACTTGCGCCTGGGGGAATTGATGTCATTGCAAGTTGGAACACACATCGCCGGTGAAGCATTGCTGGATTGCTTGTCAGCATGGTTGACCTTGAGGAGGAGAGATACAAATCATTAACTTACCAAAGCAGCAGGAAAAGCATTCCGCCCCACGCAACGACATTCAGACCGTATATGGTAACAAGAAAGCCGGTTGGTGTTCGTACATAGTTCCAGAAAGCAATCAGTCCAAGTTTCGTCGATTGTCCCAACGAATGCTTTGGTGGGAAATGATATCCATTGTCAAAAGGAGCCGCGGCAGCAGGCTCGCCAGTCAAGTTTCGCCTCGGGAACGCGACGCTTGCATTCGCCTTCTCTTCGGGCGGTTCTTCGTTGACAGCTGGGAATGTGCTCTGTCTGGATGTGTCCCCGAAGGACTGGCTTGTTTGCATCGGTATCGAGGTGTCTGATGGCCTTCGCGCCACAGTCTGTCGCGAAAATATGGATGCTGCGATGGTTCCTGTAGCGGCCATAAACCCTTCAGGGGGGCCAGAAACTTCGAAACTTTGGGAAACTCTGCGGAGACGACCACTCAAAGACGAAGAGGCTGCTGGACGATTCTCGACGACAGATGAAGAGTCGGCGTTTATGTTTGTATGATCGGGGTTTGGTGACGCATTATCGAGGCTTGGAAAGGGTTCGGTATCTGTGCCATTATAGGAAGGTTGCCCAGAGTTTGCCATGGTGGCTATGCGACTTGGCGACCCTAGATTGGGCGCCTGGAGAGCTGTGATTGAAAGGACGAGTATTAATATTGCGAGTAATTGGTGCTTGTTTCAGTGAATCAAGATGTCTGTCTATACAGGTACTAATAAGATATAACAGAGAGAATGGAATGCGATTGTGGTCCACATCAACGTGCCTAGCGACGGTGGGACTTGCCCATTTATCTACAACAGTAGATCCTTTCTCAGGGTCTAATGCCAACGTGGATAGTGGATGTCAATCACTACCGAGCCACTCCGTACCTAGGTGTGCCTCATCACTGAAGCTAAGGTACTGACGGGTTCGCGGCAACGCCGGGGGGATCACCATTGATCAATTACAGGTAAAGCGAAGTTCCTGTTGGGACACAAAAGTCTAAACGACCCCAATTCTCATGGAACGAGCATGTGAATGTGTGAATAAAAGGAAGTTCACTTCGTTCTCGTTCAATTATGAAGGTCCGTTGGACGGCATATGCCTAACCCCCTCCCCACCCTTCATACCTACATCTAAGTACCTTACCTTAGGTGTTGCTATGTATCCACCTTCAGCCGATCCATAAAAAAAAGTTAACATTTACCTCTCCGTACTCCATACAAGGTCTAGAATCTCCATCAACCTCTCTTACAACGGGTTTTCGGCCTTTCAACGTTCGTTCGCTACTGTTGTGATAATCCTCGCGAAATTCTCAAGCTCGGATCTCTCTTTTCCTCATCGCTTCCTCATCGCTGAGCCGCGCCTCGCCCTTTTTTCCACGCATAATTGGCTTCCACGCACACACTGCCTCTTGGTCCTGATCCGTATTAAACTTCATCATCCGCCTCCCTTGGCACTTTTTACGTGGAAATCATATGAGAATCAGCGATAGTCATGCTCGACATGGATCCCTCAAGTGACCCGGTTTCAAACGTCACTTCAACAGTTGTATACAACCTGCAATATCAGCATGATTGGGTCTCCCTCAAAGTCCATGAAACAACAGTTCAGCGACCTCTGATCAGAGGTTTGCCGCCGAAACGGCTCTACACCCACCCTGATGACCAGATCGCAGCTCTGGAACGTGAGAGGACCACCGGGGAACCTCTGGATCAGACACCGGAGCTCGAATGGGTATTGGCAGTGCATCCCGAAGAGAAATGGTGTATCAAGAGATTCTCCGAGATTTTTGACTCTATCGAGCGTAATGGCCCACGAGAGAAGAGGCTTGTTCTGGCCATCGTGCACAACGATTCAACGGTTGTCTACTATCTAATGCATGAGGGCATGGTCAAGCCTCGACAAAACTAATTGTCGATGTCTTCATCCGGGCTTGTATTTTGCATTACAACGTGAATACTACTTTCTGCGTCTTACGCTGCTCGAAAAGAGCGTATCCTTCAGGAGCCTGTGCAAGCGGCATGATGTGGTCGAACAGGAAGCTCACGGCGATGTTAGTTGTTGAAGCATCTCCAACGGTAGCTCAAAAACTCACCCAATCTGGTCTTGCTTCCGCTCCAGTAACTTGAGGGCTTCGTCAAAGACGCTGCGGACTGGGCAACGACCCATCTGCACTCGAATGTTCTTTCTGCAACAAGATCAGCCAGTCAGTTCTCTTTTCGGACCAATACACAAAGCATCCCAAGGCGTTACATACGTATACGCATCGTCGCCCGTCCACGGAATCTGCATTGCGGTGTTAGCTCCTGTCCTTGGCCATCGTTCCCTTCTGCTATCATACCTCCCTGTTGTGGACACCAATGCTACTAATAGCACCAAAAGGTCGCACGATATCGAATGCAGTCCTCAAAGCTGGGGACTGGCCAACAACTTCAACAACCATATCTGCGCCTCGTCCTTCTGTCACCTCCTTTATTCTAGTTTCCAGCCCTGCTCTATCTGTCTCAAAGTTTAGGGGCTCTGCGCCCAGTTTTCGAGCTTGCTCCAGGCGACTGTCGACACTATCGATGGCAAAGAGGTAGCGAGGCTTGAAATGGGTGGCTGCTAGGATAGCACAAAGCCCAACCGGGCCACAACCTATGACGACTAGTGTGGCATCTTGAATTTTCTGGGAAGGGATCAATTCTGCGGCGCTCTTTACACCATAGAATCCGGTGGGAAAGATGTCTGCCATGAGAAGGAGAGCTTGGTCTGAGATAGTCCCGGGGGCTTTGACGGCAGTTCCATCGGCCATGGGAATCCGAACGTACTCGGCTTGTCCTCCGTCAAGAGTTTCACAGCCGAACAACTGGCTCTCAACGCAGCGGGCTGAGCAACCATTGTTGCAGAAGAAACAGTTGCCGCTGTAATCCCTTATGAGCATGAGAACCGGACGGTGGAGGAGAGAGCTCACCAGGAAGCTGTAAAGGGAGCAACCACCTTGTCACCGATGTTGATTGTCTTTACAGCTGACCCAATCTGGACGACCGTTCCGGTGAACTCGTGGCCCATGATGAAGCCAGTATCTGAAGGTTGATGACCACGGTAGATGTGAAGTTCCCTGGGACTCTAGTTAGCAAATGGGACAGCATTTGGAGGATGATGACGCTCTTACGATCCACACAGGCCAGCGGCATGAACTTTGATAATGATATCCCTCTCATCTCGAACTACATCGAGTCAGCTGTAGTCGAAATAGCTCTCATCCAATACTGGCAGGTCTGAAGCTGGGTGACTGGTCAACTTACTCTGAGGCACTGGCCTGTCCTGCACTGATATTTTATACAGACCATCGAAAACCACGGCCTTCATGGTTGATGGCAGAGACATGATGTTAGTTTACGGCTTTGCCAAGGTCATCAACGATGATGTGAGATTGGCTTAGACAAGTGACTGCGCTGTGTTGGCGCAAATAGCAAACTCCTCGCGAAGGGGGCTAATCGCTTCGAGAGAAGTACCAATTGAGAGTTGTTGTAACTTCACTCAAAGATCAAATACATCATTAATTTTGTGACGACCGAGGTGGGGTTACGTGTTCCGCCATCGGCGGAAGATAGCAGGATCTGTGGTATCCGTATTACGGTGGGGTATCATGATTAACTTGCAACTGCTCTGCATGTCATGGGTTGAGGTTTGAATGTGAAGGGTGCTTGTACTAATGAAAGGCCTCAATCCGTGACCATGAAGACGATGAGCATGTCGTTTACATGATTAATAGAGTCTAGAGAATAACATTATATGTTTAGCGGCCTACAGTATGTACCTAAATATGCCTTTAAGGCTTGGGATGAATGCTATTGTAGCAGTTCCCGCCGGCCAAATTAGGTATCATCTTGTGGTTATGGTTGGACATAGAGGAAAGGTCGTGAACTGGAAGCAATGATCTGAATGTTTCAATTAGTTAGATAGTATTAAATAGTCGGATATTGGTGTACTCAATGTTGAATGTATTATCTGCTAGTCGGACTTATAATGATAGTCGTTAATAAGTGCTATGGTACTCAAATACATCGTGGTCTTGCAACTTCTCATGTGGTCGGCCAACTGCCATGGGTTAACGAGTCAGTCACAGCAAACTCAGGCTAAGACCCGGGGCACACTCAACTAGGCCTAGTAGACAGTTAATTTGAGTGTGTCTGACTACTGAAGAAAGTCAATCATTGGTCAGGTTAGAGGCTGGCTGACTGGCACTTCTGCTTAATTTCGATAATGGGACGGGAGCGAGCTTTAAAAGCATGCAACCGTATTGTGACAGAATCACTGCGTCATTTAAGTCGCGAGTTTCTGTCAGATTTCTAGAACAAAGCCAAGCCCCATCAATCAATTGTCTTTGTCCTCCTTAGTTTACCTACATACCCTGCTAATGTGCATACTCAGGCTAGCCAGGTAAGTAAGCACACATCGAGTCTTCGCTTATTTTACCTTCTTCGTTATTGCATTGAAGGATGTAGCCAAGGGTGGTCGCTTGCTTGCTTGCTATGCATCAGCTCCCGCGGCCGGCAACGCAGAAGCGGTCATGGCATGGTCATTTCAGTTCCAGGATGAGAGAGAGCCGCTTTTTGTGGGAAAATTGCGGAGGGTCCAATGACAACAAAAAACGGCCCTTTTTCTCATCTTCCATGCTACTCAAAAGAGCCCCAGTCGAGACATGGACAGTGCGTGGTATTATCCGATACACAGTAGCCGGATACCCCACAACCTGAAGGGGCACGCACTTTGAGGTTACCCACTTCTGTCCAAGTGTCCACTTCCCCTCGTCCTGCGGCTGGGGCAGTCTCCGGGGTCAGCCAATCAGACTGCTGTTCACAGAGCGAGACAGTCCGTTAGAGGGCGTTGAGTGCGCGAGATATTTATCTGACGGACAATGGATGTCAGACGAGGCGGCTCTTTTTGGCTCGGCACAGAGCATCACGCCTAAGTACTTCCGAATGATCACGAGGTCATTTTCGAGTCTGCCAAATGAGAAGATATCAAAGATGAAAAGGACAAACAGGCCAAACCACGAGTCGAATACCGTTTTGAGACTCACTGAGTTATCTTACCTGACATACATACATACATATTGACCAAGTCTTTGCCCATTCGACCTCGCGCCAATGCATCACATCACACACATGTCGACACGGCAGTGGACGTTGAGGCTTAGACGGGTGACCCCAGTGGGGTATCTAGAGAGGGGGAGGGAGGCCTCGGCGGACGCATCCTGAATTTTGACCTCTCTTTTTGGCCGTGACTTACTCAAGACTTGAGTCTGTAGCGGGCACTCCTTATACCTGAGACAGGTGCGACAATATAAAGACAAATCTCGAGCTGGAGAGACTCTCGTCGAAGTTCAAGGCGAGGCTCATTCTATGGTACAAGTGGCATCCAATCCATATCATCGAGGCCAGTCCGTCCCTCCGTCACACAACCTTGATGTATGTATGTCGGTCAAGTGTGCATAGGTAAAAATAAAGGAGGACTCAATAAAAGATCTCGCTAAAGATACACTACTTTGGACATGGTCCAATCACTCACAGAATTACCCATAATGGCGCTGTCGGGTGGCCTGCACTAGCACAGAGGAGCATCAAAATCGACCATTCAACAGAGAGGTTGCTAATAAGACATACGACGGACGTACCGCGTTCTGCTCCTGTCATTAAAATTTGTGCCCGCCCCAGGTCCCCAGTCCGTCCAACTCAGTCAGTCCAGCCAGTGAAGGTCCAGGTCCAGTCCCCAGGTTCAGGGCTCAAGGGCCTGCCAGGCCAGCCGCAACAGCAGAGCCCCATCTCGGACCCCCTGTTCTCAGCCGACCTACCACATGTTACAGATAACCAAGGGCCGAATATTTACCACCTTTTACCCCATCCCGCATCTTCCCCATGCTCCTGCCGGCCCTTGAAGTTTGAACCTTTCTAGCCCTTCTAACCTTCCCGGGACCCCAGCCCCGGCGAGTCCTCTCCTCACTCCTCAAAGTTCTCCTCCATTCTTTCCCACTCACTTCCAGTCCTTCCTACCTAATTCAAACATCAATTCGAGGCGTAGTTGGCACTGTGCTGTTCTGTACATAAGGTACTACCTAGGTAGTAGGTAATTGCCCGTGCCCATTCTCCGTATTTCGTAGTCTCCCCAGTCTCCTCTAAAATGGACTGCTCCTCAAACCCCGTAACATGGTGTCAACAAGTGGAGGCATACTCCATACTCACTAGGAAGGACCATGAGCAGTAGTAGCCTGGGCAGGTTAGCGATGTACTTAGTTACTGTACACGGACAGATAGGGCTCCAGCTCCCAGAGAATAAAGTAAACTTACTACGTAGTAAATACATTCAATCCCCCAGACTTTCTACGTTGCTCCGCACTCTTCCTTCTGAAATAACTCGGTAAATCGAGTTTACTCATACATCCCGTTACCTAGTATTCACCTCTCAGCTGTTACCTTAACCTTATACACACGGCACGATACAGTACGTCGCCTCCGCTGGCTGTTGTGCTGTACATACATACACACATACCTGCCTACCAACCTACCTTACCTTACATATTGACGCCTCAGGTCTGACCTCGAAGTTAATCTTGCCAATCAAAGAGTCCATTTCCAGTGTCGTCTCAATCGGTCTTACTACTGGTCACATCCCCCTGGGTCAAGCGACAGCGGAATATCTAGCGATTCAACTCCGCTTCTCTCTGTGCGTGTTATCGCGCAAGCGCTCATTTGGACGACTATCATATCGACAACGGCTGCACTATATCACCCCAAATTACGCGCATTACCACGGCTAGATTCACCACCGTATTTAGCCACGCTCTTTTCGCATTCAGCCTGGCACTTCAAGTTCACCGCATTTACGCCGCAAATCCCACCTAACCTGCGCTTACAGCCATATTCACGACTCACATCCGACCTCAACCTGCCTGGACAACTTACCTGCGCCAAAAACTTTCCTGTTCTCATTTTGACGCCGCCTGGGTGGCATTTGTTGCTCATGCTGAGTGACCAACGTTAGTATACGAATATTCGCTGGCAAGTCGTCTGTCCAGAGTGGTGCGCGCACCTCTGCTTCCAATTCCACGATATCATTATTCGACCGCTTCTTCTCTTCGCATCCTCCGACTCAACAAGCTTTCTTTGGTTGTGCAGTTACCACTCAAGTCGCACCACGGCCATTCACCAGGCGCAAGATCCCGCCGACTGATCAAGAGCTCCCGAACGCTTTAACCCCCCCCACGAGGGGCCATGGCGAGTTGAGCAACCACCGTCAACGCGACAAAGATGACCACAGCTACGCACCACCAGCACCAACCACCACAACCCCATCTCGGCTTCGTTGTCGATACATACGACCCGGATGACGTGGTTCCTCGAGGAAGTCCTCTCATGACCCCGCTTCGTCCAAAGCTCGAGCCGTCTCCAAGTCCTCCCCCAGATATTCCTGCAGCTCAAGTCAGTCTGAGTCCCACCTCCATCGACGGTCGCGGCAAGTCTAATCGCCACAAGGTTCGTCCCACTTCTGGGGATGCTGTCCTAGTCGCATATCTCGACAATGGACGCGATCCCGATATAGCACGAGAAGCTGCCCGCGAGAGTCTTCCCGGCGACGAAGACTCACCGGATGAAGAGCCACGGCGAGAACAGGCAGTCGACGGCAATCTCATAAGCGGGCCTCTGCTCCAGCACCTGGCCGCTGACGCTCTACAGGCTGCCTCTATTGCGACAGCACCGCCGTCTCTCGCCGCCTCGGTCCCAAAAACGATCCCCGATATATCTATACCGACTGGGCAGCTTTCTATCCACGACGAGCCCCCGATCAACGGTTTGTCTGCACCGCGATATATTTCCGGTAATAGAGTCACGTCACCACTGATATCTTCCTCTAATGGACCCTTGCCGCCTCTTCATCACGGAGTTCGCGCACCAGCAGGCGAGTCTAAGGAGACTCTTCCATCGCAGTCTCTCCCGTCTCTTCGTTCGACGTTTGGTGAGCTCCGAGACTTACACCCAGAGCGTCCATCCGAGCAGGATCTTGGCCGTGTCCCCCCAGGTCTATCCTCCACTTTCCCTACTTCTCCAGCTGCAAACTTAGGACATAGGTTTAGTTTGAATACTAATATCCCATCGTCGCCCCGTTCACCCCCAGATGGATACCGAACACTCTCCCCTCACTCTGCGCCAAGTGCGAGTATGCATTATTATCCGACAAATGGTAATCACCCTCGCGCTCCGACCGAATACAGTAGCAGCAATGCTGGCGAGACTCCGAACACCGATCACTCTGCTTCCACCCCTGCCACATCAACCTCAATCAACTCAGCCTCAATTACTGATAGGATGAGTATTGATGGGATCACACATCCGCAGCCTCTTTCCGGCTCATATACGTGCACGGTTACCGGATGCAATGCGGCGCCTTTCCAGACTCAGTATCTCCTCAACTCTCACATGAATGTACACTCATCTATACGGCCACACTATTGTCCAGTCAAAGGCTGTCCAAGAAGTGAAGGGGGCAAGGGCTTCAAAAGAAAGAATGAAATGATAAGACATGGCCTGGTTCATGACTCCCCAGGCTACGTCTGCCCCTTTTGCCCGGATAGGGAACACAAATATCCACGCCCAGATAATCTTCAGCGGTAAGTCAATTAGCCAGGCCATATCGGTGCTGCAGCTAGATATATACCCCGTCCCCCCAACTAGAGTAATGATACTGACTGCTCCTAGACACGTCCGTGTTCATCATATAGATAAAGACAAGGACGACCCGCAACTGAGAGATGTTCTTGCTCAGCGACCAGATGGACCTAACCGTGGTCGAAGAAGACGCGGCCCACCGGCGTAAACGACTGTTGCAGGTTGGCATACGAGCCTGACTGGCGAGAGGGGACGCTGAACGAGCACGATTAACGATTTACGCCAACCGAAATGTGATGGGAAGCGCTCTTTGCTTTGGCGTTATATGTATGAGTACCTGGCGATTTGACGGGTCGGGCGATTGAAGGCTTTTCGCATGCTGCCAAAGGTCATTGATTAAGCGGAGTGAGGATTTGGAGGTACAGACAAGGCGTTCAGGATCTCAAATACCCGGTTGGGTCAGATTTCATTCAGTATCTTATCTTCTAGGGGTATACCACTTGCGCCAGTGTGGCGTTGGCTAGCGAGCGTACACCTTGTTCGATTCTTCCTTCATATTCAGCATGATGCTGTGTTGAACATATATTTATCATTTCTCTCAGTCGATACATGCTTTAAATCGTCTCGTGCTTCGCATTTAGATGTATTTGTTATGCGATATCTGGGCCCTACATACGTGTACTCAAATTCACTCACTGGCACAATGACTCTGGCTAGACGATCGCCCACGGCCCAACATGAACAGGTCCATCACTGTGAATCTCTATCTCAATGCACTCTCCCACTTGAGGTGCGCCCATAATCTCAATCACTAACCACATGCCCTCCCTCTGTATCCTTGCTGGCTCCATGTCAAGCTCAGGAGTTCGCACGATTGTTTTGAGTTCTTCGTATTCGCCGTCACCTGAAGTTGCGATCGTGATTCGCTCAGGATCCCATCCGTGAGCCACGGAAACTCGTACCATGAGAGTGGATGAAGGTCGGTTACTAGGATCCATGCCCGGGCTCGTGACGCTGCGTGCTGTGACACTCATTCGGGTTAACCAAGATGCCGATAATTGCGCGCGCCTTACTTCTTCACCGTCTGAGAGCTGGAAAGGGCTCAGTGTCTTGCGGAGTCTCCCAGCAGCATCGGCGGGTACGGGTTGTACTTCGACGTTCGCCATGGATGAAACGCGGAGCACAAAGTCTGCCGATTGGCCTTGATCGAAAGTTGAACACACCACAGTATACACTCCAGCATCAAGTTGTGGAATGTTAACCACAGCACAGCCTCGACGGTATTCCCCAGATGAGCCCGCAAGATCCCGAGCCTTGAGTGTCTGCACCCTCTTGCCCTGGGACCAGACTAAATCGATATGCACATGGATATCCTGCAAATTTGTTGACAGTAGGACAGATAAAGGCCCCGCTTGAGCAAGTGATAGCTTGTACTGGGGGTTTGTAGCGTAGGTCGTGCAAGCTGCACTGCCTCCTGCAGTCCTCCTGGTCCAAGAGCCAGCAACCTCCCTTGTGCAAGTCATTGCGTCCTCAGCTTCGTTGACTGCAAGCTGATCTTGGGAGAGGAATGAAAGTGTGAGGGTGTAGTCTGGTAGCGGGAACTCGTGCTGGTCGACAACGACGGTATATCGTCTCCCTGGACTCGTGTCGAAACGAGCGAGAGTCTGCGGAGAGTCGACATAAGGTCCGCGATAGACATCGCCGTCGCTTACTTGCACCCTGTGGCCGTCGTTTTCGAAGACAAGAATGCTCATGTAACCGAGTTGTCCAGAGGCAGCTGCCATTGAGTCGGTCCTGTTTCGAGCAATTTCCAATTCTTCGTCCACAAAATGTCTACTCACGAGAATCCACACTGGCCCCCCAGCTGGCGAGTGGAGTGAGTACTGTGGGTTGCGAACCAGTGATGAAGACAACTCAGGGGGAGGCATACACCAGGTGAAGTGATGATCCTGGCGATGGGGAAATAGAGCAGGGTTCCAGTTCAGGTACATGGACTCGAAGTGTTGGAGGACATCTTCTAGGGTCATCCAGAAAGAGCCAGCGACTGAAGGGGGAGACTTGTGTTGAGGGCTGGCGGCATATGGGGTTGGCAATTCGCCATCAAATGCCTGAGGAAAGCCTCCTTTCCAAACCGGTCCGTCACACCAAGGGTTCTTGACCAAAAGCCTCCGGCTATCACCAATCATTTCAAGATCCATGATGGCATAGTCGTGCTCTCCAATAAGACCCAAGATATCCTCTTCTTCGGTAGAGATTCGACCAGTACCCAATGTGACCACCACGTTCTCAGAGTCGTGTGCATTCTTGATTCGTTTCCAGAGCTTATCAACCTCTAAATCTTCTCTATAAAAGCAATTGACGGGTGAGCCCACGTTGTGAAATGGAGGCAGTGTGTGTGAAGAGGGATAACAAAAAGTGCTCACCTCTGAAGAAAGATCTGTTCCGGGATCCATCCAGTAAGAACCCACAAATCTGTGCCTGAGTTACTACCCGGAAAGTCATAGCCTCCTCTGACTTTGAGATATGCCTTTTCTAGGAGTGCAGGCCATATCAGTTGAGGGTTGACTCGATCAACAACGTAGAGAGTTCGGTCACTGATGGAAGACGGAAGCCGCTCATCGACCACAACCCGGCGGAAGCACCCGTTGAAGTATAGTTTCAAGACGTATTTGCCAGAAGCAGATTCTTTAGGTGTTCCCTTCGCTCTGTCAAATGGATACAAGATGGACGAGAGAATCTGTTGTAGACTGTCAGTGGACGCTCGTTGGCAGCTCATCTCGATACGCCTTACCGACTTTCGACCAGTCAAGATATTCATAGCGGCACATAGACTGGCTACTACAGAGCAATCAGTGGTCATATCTTGAACCAGGTCGCAACCGCTACTTGAGTTCATGAAAATGTCGTCGTCTGCTTCGACATGGTCGTGTAGGTCTCTGGGACGCTTCCATCCACCAAATGTAGCAGTCTGCCTCGGTGACAGTGTGAAGATTGCATTATCGCTATATCAAACTCAGCCAAGAGCTACAACAGACTGTACCAGGCAGGGTTTCCGTTTACGTGAAAGGCTCATCGCCAGGGAGAAGCTGGAACTCTTCGTCCGAGGGTTCTTTCGTCCATGGGGGGAAGAGATTAGAGTGAAGTTTTGAGGTTCTTAACAAGACACCGGGCGTCTGGGTGAGCTCAGCCTTGAGCTTCTCTGCCTGAGCAATGAGTTGTTGACATTTCAATCTCAAACGAGCGGCATCTTTTTTGGTCGAAGCCTCTCCAGCAGCTCGCATGTACAGCTCTGCAGCCTGAACAGCATAATCGAGGGCCGCTTGGCCACTCGATGTCCGGATGAGAGACTCAGTGGCCTGTGATATGGATGTAGGGTTAGTTGACAGATGAAGCTATAATGGGCCATGGTGTAATACACATCGAGCATCGCCGATATGGTCCTGAGGCAGATAAGAAAGAAAGGGCACGCGTCTTGAGATACACTGACCTGAGCTCTCTTCTCCATTTCCGTTTTACTGAAACATGGCCTCAACCATTGCCAGGCTTGACGGATTGACGTTGACAATGAATGAATGACTCGAGATAACCTAACACTTCAGAGCTGCGAACCCCGCGGTGGGGGCTGCTGCTGTTTGCTTTGCTGCGCCCAATGTGTTCTCCACTCAAAAGAGCTCTGCATCGACATGTCATTGAGATGGGGATGCAATACCAGAAGTGTCACTGTGATCAGTAGGAAAGATTTGGAAAAAGAACTGCTAAAGAGAACGGATAAGTAGTTGTGCTCAATGTCTCTAGATACTTACTCTTTGTACGTCATCTGGTGCCATGTTCTCTCATCTCATATAGTTCACATTTCCCAAACAGACAGACTACCTAGGTACTTAGGTAGGTATTCACAGTAAGCATTCTTCATCTACGACGTTGTTAGGGTACCCTATCTCGGATTGTGAGCAAGGTTTGTGCAACAGACGTTACCTTTGACGTCGGCGCTTTAAATTAAGCTTACAAATCACCTCACTTCATCTGCAGCATCTCATCTCCATATCAACGTCATTTGCCTCGACCATCCATGATAACTACCTGAGTACGGATACGCTCGCTACCTACCTACCTTCAGGGAGCAAGAAAACACCGGACCTGAATATAGGGTGTCAAAATAAACTGAGCAATTTGTCCCTGAGTTTAGGCTAGATTTACCTAAGCACCTTTCTCGCTTAGGGTGAGGGTCTTGAGCTTTCTTTCCTCCCCTAGCCTACCTACCCAACTGTTAGTGAGTCAGCAGTTAGTAGGGAGGCACAAGCCTAAGTCCCCGGAAATCTCAGGGAGGAGGCTCACTAACCGAGGTTCCATCCCGCGGGTCAAATCACAGGCGGGGGCCCACCAAATCTGCCGAGACCGGTAGACTCGAACCTCGGCCCCGAACCGGTAGCGGACCGTTTAATCTTTGTCTTAGGTGCCTACTCACGTATAATCATGGATCGGCCCAGGAAGTACAACATCGCGATAGGATATACATTTTTAGTGTGAGCTGTGTGTGTCTTCCTCTTCCTTCTCCTCCTCCTCTTCCCCATCCCGCTCCTCAACAAGATCTCCTATCCCTTCACAGCTCGTCCAAAATGGCTGCGCAATCGAAGCCTGAGATCTCCCCTTGGGGCCGCGCTGTCGCTGGAGCTACGGGTGCTGTTCTTGCGAACGCGCTGGTCTACCCCCTTGATATGTAAGTTGTGTATTTCGACATGGTGTTTGCTCCATACTGTACATCAAGACTGACTCTCGAGATAGTGTCAAGACTCGTCTTCAAGTTCAAGTCAAGCCCGATCCTTCAAAAGGCCCTACCTCGTCCGACGAACCACACTACACCTCGACATGGGATGCCATTTCGCGTATAGTCGCCGATGATGGAATCAAGGGCCTCTATGCTGGCATGAATGGCTCTCTGATTGGTGTTGCCTCAACCAACTTTGCCTACTTCTACTGGTACACCATTGTCAGGACCCTATATTTCAAGTCTCGCAAGACAGACGTGCACCCGTCCACCGTGGTCGAACTCGCTTTGGGTGCTGTCGCCGGAGCCATTGCCCAGGTCTTTACCATCCCTGTTGCTGTTGTTACCACGCGCCAGCAGACGGCAAGCAAAAGCGACCGCAAAGGTCTCATAGACACCGCTCGTGAGGTCATCGATGGTCCAGATGGTGTATCAGGTCTCTGGCGCGGTCTGAAGGCCAGTCTAGTCCTTGTCGTCAACCCTGCCATCACTTATGGCGCATACGAGCGACTAAAGGACGTTTTCTTCCCTGGCAAGACCAACTTGAGACCAGCGGAAGCATTCTGTAGGTTTCCGAGAAGAATGGTCTATCTGTACACGTGCATGAGCTAACTGCTGTTGGTAGTACTGGGTGCCATGTCCAAGGCGCTCGCAACCATCGCTACTCAACCACTTATCGTGGCCAAAGTTGGTCTTCAGTCCAAGCCTCCGCCGGCCCGAAATGGCAAGCCCTTCACCAGTTTTGTCGAGGTGATGAAGTTCATCATTGAGCACGAAGGTGTCCTGGGTCTTTTCAAGGGTATTGGACCACAGATCTTGAAGGGGCTCATCGTCCAAGGCATCCTCATGACCACGAAGGAGAGGTAGGATCCACCCCTTGATACTCAATGACTACTCGCAGCGACTGACTTTTTCACGCAGGGTTGAGCTCATGTTCGTGCTTTTGATCCGATATATCAAGTCTATCCGCCTCCAGAAACTCGGCAAGACAGCTGAGAAGACAGCCGCCGCAGCCGCTGCACACAGCGTTGCGGCCAAACCCGTCACAACCGCATAGGTAGTGAACGGTTGATCCTTAGAAACAGCATCGGTGTTTGGGATATTGGAATTCTGCCATTTGGGAATAGAAACGGATTGGTGTTTTATGTTTGGACGTTTTGCGATAGTAATAAGCGCGCACTATTCCTCCTGATGATGGGAAGCCCTTCAACCTGCGTGATAACGGATTGTAGCATAGAGCAATACAGGTCATTAAACATTGAACCCAAAGACTTGGATACTGGTGATCAGTTCGTTGACACCGGGTCGACTCGGAGCAGAGACAGTAGACAGCCAACGGAATGAAAGAAATTTTTAGTCACCAGCAGATGACCATCTGCAAGTATACCGTGCTAGCGTGGCACTGTTTTCTTCTCAACATAACCCGGCATAATTGAAATGAACATCCATTTCTGGTTGTTATACAAATCAAATACTGTATTAGTGGGTTAGCACCAGTCTATCAGACTTGGCCCAGAGCAGTCGGTGATCATCTACCCCAGGGAGTATGAAAATATTAAGCCTTAGTATGAGGAATCCAAATTTGTTACAACAAATTTATACTAAATTTATACCAAGTCTTGTCATTTAGTATCGAAGTGCTGAGTTTTCGTTCCTCCCCTAGTTTCCATGGCCCAGAGCAGTCGGGGATTACCTACCTACCCTAGGTCATGGCTCCATCAGATCTAGGGTGGAGCTCACTCAGCACGTGCAAACCTGCCCTCTGTCAGCGAGAGATGCCCCACATCAATTCCTCTAGGGTTGTAATCGCACACAATTCCAGCTTTCTCCTCGCAACTTCGTGATCCGTCTCCGTCGACACAGGGAATCAATCAGCAGCAATGGCGAGTACGTGCTGCCTCAGAGAACGCTTCAAGGCAGATTCATAGATCACTGACATTGTCGCAGAGTCAAAGAACAGCTCCCAGCACAACCAGTCGCGCAAGGCGCACAGGAACGGGTAATTATATCGAATTTCCCAACATTGTCGACTGTCGCTGACTCTTGCGCAGTATCAAGAAGCCCAAGACTTCTCGCTACCCCTCTCTCAAGGGTACTGATCCCAAGTTCCGACGAAACCATCGACATGCTCTTCACGGCAACATGAAGGCCCTGGTACGAAACGCACCCACCGAATGAAGCGACATCTGCCTGCGCACCAAAACATCTGGCTAACAAGATCTACAGAAGGAGGCTAAGGAAGGCAAGCGCGAGACTGTCTAAGATACCTATCGGCAAGGGAAAACGAAGGCGTCAATTTGGAGCATTCGCATTGCTCGGTTACGGCACACAAACGATAGAACTCACGCAAAATGAAACGATGGAAATACAGACCATGCGGTCAGTCCGAGGAGAAGATGGTGGCAGTCGACAGGTCCCGTCCCGGCGTTCAACGTTTTGATGGCCCCGAGTAAAGCATGTTGCTTGGTTTCCATTCCAGGAACATGAGGTAGTAGACGGAAAAACTTCTACCTGAACTCCATACTACAAGGTCCAATTTGCAGTGAATTTGTCCGTGACATGCTGTCCAGACCCTAATTTGTTCCATGTATCGTTAGTCGAATCGCTGACCTAACTATCTATTCTTGTGACTCGCTATTCGTGGCCATTAACCCTGAATTTTGAGCTGCACCATGCCCCCTGTTTCAAATGCTTTGTCGCTGAACCTGTCGTTCGATCATTGCTAGAGAGTGTGTTTCTATTCATGTCTCAAAACCTTGTGATAGATCTAGAGTACTCATCGCGTCCTACCTACTCATTGCCTCAACTGTCCGCTGTCTACTGGTAATCAGTATAGGCAGGTAGTACTCACATAGGATTGGTTCTACGAGTTATCTCCAACTTGACCAACTAAGGTAGACCTTTCCTGGAAACTCTACCCTCCGGTTCGATCATGGCTACAATCTACTGATAACCAAAACGTTTTTGCCGCTTTGGGCCCCGAAAAGCGCCTGAGGCAACAATGTTTGTTGGCAAGGATTAATGGCCCTGTTCTGTTACCGATAGGCCCATGAGCCCTTGGCGGACGGGCACGCACTCCCGATTAGGTAAGCACAGGGGCTGAGGCCTTCGCATTAGGCTATGTGCTAAGTTATCGGAACACGAAGGCATTCTCTTCTGCTTCCGATCATCCCTCTGTCCTTGACGAGCCAACCTCTAGAGGACGCCGGTCCTTTGCTTCATACGTCGGCGGGATTTAATCAGGATTTCTGTGGCCTGCCTGGAAGCAGACTTCGTCCCTTCTTTGACTACCTGTACCTACTTAGGTGTCGTTTATACTCGGTATGACGCCCCCCCTCTCTCCGCGCTGCTTCTGCTTTCTCCTTCTATTTCTACTTCTTCTTCCAAAACTTTCGTACCAGCTTGGAAATCTCTTCAAAAAAGGGGCTACCTACTGACATTGGTACTCGCAGTACTGTTAGTCGTTTGGCAGATAATGTTCTAAATTTCCTGCCTTGCTTCAAGTCTTAAGCTCCTTTGAGGTCAGCCGGTCACTGCAGGAGTCGAGAGACGATTCTTGTAACATCTTTGCTTGCCACCGTCACATTCTGCACTCGTCGCTATTTACTACTACCATTAACCCTTTCGAAAACAACGACCCTTGATAATGCTCAATATGTCTGGAAACCACGTCATCGGAAACAGAAATAGCACGCCCGAGGCCAATAGCACCTCGACCTTGCGGCCACCGTCTTCTCGAGCCGTTGGTTCTGGTCATTCGCTTCGCGCCTCGGCCGACATGGCGTCCCTAACTGGCCCTTCCCCCTCCAGCCGCATTCGACCCTCATCCGATTTCTATGGGCAGGCTCAGCAGAACCTCGGCCCCAACAACGCCGAATCGGACTCCCAGGACAAGATTGCTCAGCAGTGGATTGCCGACATTGACCAGTACGAAACGACGCTGGAAGAGATGGCTGCTGCTACTCTGGACCAGGACTTCAAGGACGAGCTCAGTGCCATTGAGCAATGGTTTCGTGTCTTGAGCGAGGCTGAACGCACCGCCGCCTTGTATGCCCTCTTGCAGCAGACAACTCAGGTCCAGATTCGCTTTTTTATCCAGGTGCTCCAGCAAATGGGAAAGAATCATCCTATGTCAGGGGTTTTGTCCCCTGCCAGCTTCGACAAAGGTGCGTTTGTTGACGATGCCAGATTTGATTCACCTCTTTTAACGCACCATTTTCCCAGATCCTATGTCGAACCGTCTCAGCGATGCAATGAACAAGCTCAATGTCGACTCTGCCCGTAATTCCATGGCCCGTAACTCGGTTATCGCCCCATCCAACAAGCGACATTCAGGACTCGACCCTTCCACCATCAGCGCCATGTTCCCCGATGCTGCGGCAGCCATAGCCACAGAGAAGGCCAAGTTCACCCAGCAGACTGGGAACCCGCCCTCCTCGAACCGCAATAGTGCCGCCTTGGATCATCGTTCGTCCATGGCTGCTCCATCTATCAGCGCGCCTCAGGATAACCGTGATGCTGGACCTGCTAGTTCTTCGCCTTGGAATAGTGGCGGGAACGCAGACTCTGGCAAGGCATCCTCTGCTCAGGCTCCTATGGGCCAGTTTGTACAGCCGACACCATCTGGTGGACTTCGCTCTCCGCGTCCGCAATTGTCAAGCAACAGTACGATCCAGCAAACGACTCTCACTGCCCCGGATAAGAACCCTGGGGACTTGCCTTTGCTTTCACCGTACAATGCTGGCAGTGGCAACTGGGCGTCAATGGTAAACACCCCTATGACTGGCACCTTCAACACAGCCAACACCGGAGGTAACCAGGCCGATATGGTTGCCAACGCCACTGCCATGAAACTCGCAGCTTTGTCTACAGTCAATAACCGATTCGCTTTGGACGACGTGCGCAAGTACCGCCGAACTAGGTCCAATGACGGCACGCCAGGACAGAATCCTGTCTCCGTTGGTCCACAGCCCGGAATCAACCTCCCAAACACGAATGTTGTCATGATCAATGAACATGGCCAGGTCCTCAGTAGAGAACAGCTCATGGCGCTTCAGGCGCAGCAAAACCTTGGTTTGGGTGGTCAGCGCTCTCGTCCCAGCTCCCCTGGAATTGCCATGCAACCTGGACTGCCTCATATGGCACCGTTCACTTCGCCGCAGAACAACGGATTCCTTAGTGCGTACGATGTGTCCTCGCCATTGATTTCAGGCGGTATGCAACCGGTCAACTTGGGTGGCCTTGGGATGCCTGGCCACGAGGGCTACTTATCTGATCATTCGGACATGGTTCGTGGCCGATCTCCTCGTGGGAGACGAGGCAGCTCCAAGCCTCCCGAGGACCCGACCGACCCAACCCTTCTGCAGGACATCCCCAGTTGGCTCCGCAGTCTTCGCCTTCACAAGTACACCGATAATCTCAAGGATATGAAGTGGACGGACCTCATCGAGTTGGACGACAAGGCCCTGGAAGAGCGTGGCGTCAACGCCCTCGGTGCACGTCGAAAGATGCTCAAGGTTTTTGAACAGGTCAAGGGTAAGTAATTTCAAGGCAGAGTTGTTTGAGACTAATGTGCTGATGATGTTGCAGAAGCCAAGGCCGACGGAAAGCTGGGCTAGAATCACCACAACCGGGCATACCCATATATAGACCTGCAAAAATGGATGTTAAGTGGTTCAACTTTGCACACATTGTGTTGGACATGGGTTGCAGTCCTGTTACAGACTCGATTTAGTATTTTAAATTTAGGTGGAAGGTCGCTGAAGATCAAAATTAATAGTTCGAGTGCGAAAACTTATGATTTTCCACGAGATCATGCTGTTGATAGTAACGTCGTGCCTTATTTTCACATTCAAGGTTCATTCACCTCACCCTTCCTTGTCCAGATGACTCCGTGAGAATGATTTGTGCTCTATATGACTCTTTTGGTCAGCAGCTAGCTTGCATTCTGCCTTTTTATTATTATTAATCGATGACCTAAGTACATGATCTTATCAAGGTATACATTGAAGACCCTTCTCTCATCTTGAAGTTACCTACCTATTTGTTTGATTGTGG